CCTGCCCAGAATCATGTATGATTTGTTCTGATGTATGCAAAGCCCCCCGCCCTCTCCAAAAAAGTGTACTTAAGCTCTGCTTGACCTCTGCTCTGGGCTCTGGGCTTCTCACCCTTCCTGAGTGAGCCTTGAGCCCCAGCATGCTGGTTCAATAAAACTTCCCCCCTGCAATTGCATGAAGCTGGTCTCTTGTGTGGTCTCTCCCTCCGATGCTCCGCCGGACCCTTACACAACAATTAAAAAATGCCTGGATGGGCTGGAGTTGTGGCTCAGCAGCAGAGCACTTGCGTAGCATGTGGGAGGCCCTGAGTTTGAGCCTTAGCACCACATAAAAATAAATAAGTAAAATAAAGGTATTGTGTTCAACTACAACTAAAAAATAAATATTTTTTTCTAAATATTTATTTTAGTTGTAGATGTACAAAATGATCTTTATGTTATTTTTATGTGGTGCCAAGGATTGAACCCAGAGCCTCACATGTGCTAGGTTAGCGCTTTACCACTGAGCCACAATCCCAGCCCTAAAAAATAAATATTAAAAAAAAATGACATGATCTCACTAAGTTGCTAAGTTTGACCTTGACCTTGGGGTCCACCTGCTTCAGCCTCCTGGGTAGTTGGGATTACTGGTTTTTGCCACCACACTTGACCCCAAAATGACATGTAAGAGACTTTATAGGAATCTCAAATGTCACATAAGAGTCTGCTTTACTGAACCAAAAAAACCCTTAAATGACTCTGATAAGGGGTCCCATGCTGATGAACTAACAAAGTGTTCTTTTCTCTGGCTCAGCTTCAAGGCCACAGTCATGTTTAAAGAACATCTGTTCCTTCTAAAGCAAGTTGTCCTGTGCAGCCAGATTCCATTTTCCTTTTGTTTTCCATTCTACCAGAATATGATGAATATCTGCTATTTTCAGTGCCCTGAATTTTTTTTGAAAATATTTTTAGTTGCAGATGGATATAATAACTTTATTTTATTTATTTATTTTTATGTGGTGCTGTGGATCAAACCCAGTGTCTCATAGGTGCTAAGCAAGTGTGCGATCACTGAGCCACTACCCCAGCCCAGTACCCTGAATCTTCAAGAAGCTATAGATGCAGAACTGGCAGAAGGCTCATGCCCCTCCCCCCAGAAGAGTTTTTTGGCAAAAATGAAAATAATAATGAGTGCTGGGCGTGGTGGCACAGGCCTGTAATCCCAGCAGCTCTGAAGGCTGAGGTAGGAGGATGGAGAGTTCAAAGCCAGCCTCAGCAACTGTGAGGTGCTTAGCAACTCAATGAGATCCTGTCTCTAAATAAAATACAAAATAGAGCTGGGGATGTGGCTCAGGGGTAGAGTGTTCCTGGGTTTAATCCCTGGAACGACAACAAAAAAAGAAAATTATAATGATAATAATATGGCACTTGATAAGTGACATTTATGGAACATCTTTTGTGTACTTTGTAGCCTTGTGCTGGGCAATATTGGAGAACTGAGAAAGGCTCTGGAAGGGGAGGGAAGTGATTAGAACATGGGGCTGTAGAGGCGGTAGATGGGTGGGTGGGTGTCAATATTTTGTTCAAGGTACACTAATTCTTTGGATAGGACACATCAGACTTGAAATGTGGCTCAGTGGTAAAGTGCTATCTTCCCCTCTCCCCTTAATCACCTGGGCCAAGGCCTCTGCTGACAGGTGTCTTTTTCCCTGACCAGTCTAAAGCACAGACACTTAATGGCTCTGGGTGGGGGAGGGGTAACAGAGGAGAGAGAAATCAGAACAGGCCAAGATAGACGGGGAAATTGCAGGACACAGAGGCTGGCAGGTGTGTGTATGTGTGTGCGTGTGAATACCATGGGTGGATTTCATCTTTCTGTTCAGGTTCTCTTCTACAGCCACATACATGGCAGCTGCATGCATGCCTTCCTATATAACTTGTCTGGTTGTGTCTTCTATGTATGTTGTACTGTGTGTGTTGCATGTGTTTTATTGTCTGCCTGTGCAATTTGTTTGTATGGAGCTGTTTATGTATATGTTGCTCAGGTGTCTCCTTTGTAAGGCTTGTGGGTGATGAGGGTGCTTGAGTTTTTGTCTCTCCTATATATCTCCCATGTGCGTCTTTCTTCATGGTGTGTCTGCCACAGCTGTGTTTATGTCTCCCCTTGGTAAATGGGTGCAGAAGTGGGTGTTTCTCTTGGAGTCATTGAATATGTGCTTTCTGATTCCCCTGGTTCTTCCTCTTGAAGATTTAGGTATATTTTCTGGATTTCATCTTTGCAAAGACAGTATACTCTCGGCATTCCTGCGTTTCCTGTTTATGTGACTCTGTATGCTTTCCCTGGGTGTTTCTTCTTAAATTCATTGATTGTCAATCACCTTGTGTACTCGGCTGTACATAGCCATCTGCTTGAATGCAGATGGGCTTGTGGGTGACTGGGCTGCTCTGTTTGTACAATCATATCTGCCAGTGAGTGCTCCTTTCCCTTTCTGTGACCAGAGCTATTACACCTGGTCACAAGTGCACACATGAGTTCACATGCACAGAGGTATCATTTTACAGCCTGAGTCTGGAAGCTGGCCTCCAGGGTTATCTGAGCCTAGAATCCTGTGTGTGAGAAAGATGCAGGGCCCATGCACAATGTTGTACACCCTGAGCACTCATCTTTGCACTCTTTTGTTGTTGTTTTGTATGCTGGGGAATCGAACTTAGAGCCTTGCATATGGTAGGCAAGTGTTCTACCACTGAGCTATATCCCCAGTCCTCATCCTTGTACTCTTCATGTGGCTGTGGTCTATACCAGTTGGCCAGTTGGTTCTCTTTGGTTTGGCTATGCGTCTCTGGGCAATAATGTCTATAGATGTGTATGTGCCTGTCCTTTTGTCAGTCTGTACTCTCCGAGTACAGCTGGGTCTGTAGATGATGATACCTCTAAGGCTATCTTCACTCTATGTGGCCTTGAGTATGTGTGACTCCTGTCTATTACTGGCCCTGATTGCCCGTTGCCCCATGAACCTGGCTTTTGGTGTGCAGTTGTGAGTCTATGTGTGTTCATCTCTGTCATTCTGAATTCTCGGTGTGTGGCTTTGTGTGCATACTTTGGGCTATATTTGTTTACATCTCTGTAGGTGATGGTGAGTCTGCCCCCATCTCTGAGCCCCTAGATGGGGCTGCGATTGGGCCTGTGTAGCTGTGATCCCTGAGTATGCAGGAGTCTCTCTCCAGCTGTGGGGAAGTAAACACCCCACCCCTTTCCCTCCTCTAACTGCAGTTGGGGTGGGGGCATCTGTGCTAGCTTTGAAGGCCCAGCCAGCTCCTGGCCTTTCCGGGAATTCTGTACTCCCTGTGGGTGGTGAGCAGGCAGAGAAGAGGCCACACAGAGGCCTCTTGTCCACCTGATTTTCTTTTCTTTTCTTTTTTTTTTTAATATCTTTATTTCACTTTACGTGGTGCTGAGGATCGAACCCAGGTCTCGCACGTGCAAGGCAATCACTCTACCACTGAGCCACAACCCCAGCCCAACCACCTGATTTTCAAGCAGCCCAGTTCAGTTGAGCCAGGATCCCAGGTCCACCCTGCCTGTCTCCATGTAAGGGAGATATATGTCGACATGCCTGAGACAGACATGCCTGTAATAGATGGGAATGAACTGACATACCTCCATGTAAGACAGATAGTGAGACAGATAGATAATGGGACTCCTCAGTTAGGGTGTGGACAGATCCCACCCCGCACCTGGGCTGTGGTCCAGAACTTTGGGACCTACCCAGTTTGCAGACATTGTGTATCCCTACTCTTCACCCAACCAGAACTGCCCTTCCTGCCTCCCTCTGGGGTCCCCAAGTTCTAGAGTCCTCTCCTGGCGAGAATGTCCTTCTTAGGTCTGCCTATACTATGTCTAACCCTGCACTTGTCCCACTGCTGTCCCTAGGCCTGTCCATCCACCCTGTGTGCTCCTTTGCCTGAATCTAATTTTCTCAGGCTGTTGTCTTCTGTCACTTTTGGTATCTTTCTGCTTTAACCACTCCCTGTGCCCCTTTGCCTCTCTAGGCTGGTATGTCTGGTCCCAGCCTCTGTTTAGGGACATGTTTGGCTGTATGCACTTAACTATCTGCCAGCCTCTGTCTCCTGTCTATCACTGGCCCTGATTGCCTGGTGCCTTCCTTCATGAGCCTATCCCTACCCACCTGTCTGAGTCTGTCTCTAGGGCACTTTCTCCCCCTGTCTGTCCCCCTGCCTACCACCTCACCCTTCTTTCCCTGCCTCCTCCCCATGTGTCTTTCTGTTCCCTGTGATCTTTCTGTCCATGTATTGTATCTCCTGCCTATCTGTTTGTGATTGTTTCTCATTCTGTCTTCTCCCCGCTGTCTGATCACTGAGTCCATTCCCTTTTTCTCCTTGTATCTCTCTAGACGTGGATCTACTCCCTAAAACTTTTAGTACATCTCTCCCACCACCAAGACACGTGCAAGTCTCTGTCTCCCTCCACGTGGGTTCACATGTGGGCGCCCCTCCCCCCACTTCCCCTGCCTAGGGCCCGAGGCAGAGAAACTGAAGTAAAATTAGCACTTCTTCCCAGGGGGAAAAAAAAAAAAAAGCCGCGGGCCCCGTGGGGCGCTGGCAGTGCTGATTAGCCACCGAGCAAGCGCGGGCAAAGCTGATCAGCTGTAGAACAGGCGCTGGCTGAGCCGATTGGCCAGAGCGGGAGCGGAACCGGCATTGGGGTCCCCAGCCCAACTGGGAGTTGCTGCGGGTTCAGGAGCTGAGAGGAGCAGGGAGGTGAGGAGGGGGCGCAGGCCGTGGGGATGGTGGCCCTGGAGACCCAGAGATATGAGTGGGCGTCCTGGGAGAGGGGTTCAGGAGTTCCTTGGAGACTTTCGTAGCGATAAGTGGAGAATTGAGTGAAGGGAGGGTGTCCTATTGTACTTCGTTTAAGGAAAGAACTGAATGAAAGAAATCAAGAGAGAGAAGCTGCTGAAGAGTAACAGGTTTATTCGGGACAAATCTGCGGAGGGAGCCCAGTGGAGACTGAGACCCATCTTCCCCTTACAGCCTGGGGTAAATATAGGGGCATGAGGGAGTGAGAGGATTTTTGCCGTTAGCCCATTGCTAGGGGGTGTCAGGGAAGGGTCCTTGTGGTCACCTCTGTTCTTCCAGGTAGTCACTGTTCCATGTCCAACCACATGTTTTCAGGATTTCAATCCCAGAGAACAATTTCCATTTTTTGCCTGATGATGGGATTTAGGTCAGGCTGAGTCTGAGTGACTGTGAAGTGACTCTTCTAAGATGGAGGATGTTTCAAAATGGTGTTGCCTGTGTTGAGTTCTTCCTAACACCTCAGTCCTAAGAAGTGAATACAGGAGAGTGGTGGGGGTCCCCAGAGTATGCTCAAGGCTGGGGAGGGAACCCCTTGAGCCCCTTCCCCATACCAGGAAGAGGATTCATGACTTGGGGGCAGTTTCCTGGAGCCAGTTTTAGCTCTGATGTGGACCTTAATTGGGGATTTCTCAGATACCTAGTTTCAGGAAGTGAGTCCAGGGTTGGGGGTTTCTTTAGAGAAGAAAGAAGAGGCTCCAGGTTTGGGCAGGGATGGCACAGACATCCTAACCTTAGCGAGGCAGGAGAAGGGTTAAAATGGACAGGCAGGAAATTTGGACTCTTTATTTATTTATTTATTTATTTAGAGAGAGAAATTTTTAATGTTTATTTTTTTTGTTTTCGGTGGACACAACATCTTTATTTTATTTGTATGTGGTGTTGAGGATCGAACCCAATGACCTGTGCATGCCAGGCCAGTGCACTACCGCTTGAGCCACATCCCCAGCCCAAGTTTGGACTCTTTTGAGGTCAGGTCTCTGTGTAGCAGGGCTGAGAAACTACAGGCACAAGCCAGGTCCCATCAAGTTCAGACTGACTCCTATATAAGCAGAGTGGGGGGAAAAACCCCTGAACCATAGAAAGACATGTACTGCTTGGTAACTAGGCTCTCACCAAAATAGGCACAATAATTTGATTGGACAAAAGGGGACAGGAAGAGCTCAAGGACTGAGTACCTTACTCAGGATTGGGCTGGGGGCTATCTCCCTTAACCCTGTGGGATCTATATAAACCCCTAGACAATGGCTACTTTCTGGTATCCCTCTTTTTTTAATATTTATATTTTTAGTTGTAGTTAAACACAGTACCTTTAATTTATTTATTTGTATGTGGTGCTGAGGCTTGAACCCAGGGCCTCAAACGCGCTATGTGAATGCTCTACTGCTGAGCCACAATCCCAGCCCTCTGGTATCCCTCTTTTGAGACTCCTTTCTGTAAAGCAAAAAGGGGCGCGTGAGATCAGGAACCATGGAACAAAGATGAAGCACCCAAAGAAGGTTTATTTGGGGGTGCTCCCAGGCGAGGTTCACTGGCCTGTGAAAGGGTGAGGGCTGGAGAAATTGCAGGTGGGAAAGGCAAGAACAATGCTCACCAGGGAAAGCGGAGGTAGGAGGGCCTAGGCCATCTAAATTGCAGCTACAGACAGCAGGTTGACTGAGTTTAGGGGGATTATGTCTGTTGCAAGTTGGTCAGGGCTGATTGAGTTGACCGGGTGATTGCTTCCACCGGTGGGAACGCATGGTGGTTGGGGTCCGTTGCCATGTCAGCTTCTGATTGGCCATTTTGAGTCTCCTCAGCCAGGTGGAAAGTCCCCGCTCACAGCCCCCATGAAAGGGGAGGGGGAAGGGAAGCCTGTCGACCTAACACTCTCCTTTGAGAGCTCTGCTTGCTTTCTGTTACTCTAATAAATCCTATTACTTTGTTCTCACTTTTGTGTCCGTGGATTTCAGTCTTTGAATCTGCAAGACAAAGAACTCAACTCTGTGCTACACTAGGAAACACATTAGGCCCTGAGAAGGGGGCTTTTATACAGAGACTGCTCTATTCACGAAGGGAAGTAGCCAAGCTCATCCTCAGGCCAGGTTCTGGACATATCCGAAACCCAGGAAAGGTTTGAATCTGAAAGTGTCTCCAAATCTACTTCTGCCAGGAAGTAGGTTTTAAGACGCGATGGAGTCCTAGAAAATACCTTTAGGCTCTACCAGGGGATTAAATGGGACTCTTTTTGTCAATTTTTCTTTCTTTTGTTTGTTGGTCCTTTCTTTTCTTTTTTTTCACCCCTTGGTGCTAGGGATGGAACCCAGAGCGTCCTACATTCTAGGCAAATGTTCTACCACCTAGCTACTCCCCGGCTCCACTGGGTCACTTCTATCCCTGAAAGAGGGGCACTCGGTTGTCTTCTGCCTCTTGTGAGGATATTCAGAATTGTAGGTGAAAGCAGGTTGTTAAGACTGGAGCTGGGGTCTCTGAGCCTGCTTTCTATCCCCAGTCTCTTCAACAGGTAGCAGCAGCTCTAAGCTCAGGGGCCCAAGCAGGGAAGAGCTGGGTGGGGCTGTGTTCAGAGGGGTGGGGCAGTGAGGCGACACGTGTCCCTGCTGGGAGTGAGCTGGCCGACCTCCCGGTGAGGCTGGAGGGAGGGGGAATGTGGGGACTGGGGAAGAAAAGAGACAGATGGCAAGAGAGTGAGTCTGGGGTCTGGGAGGAGAGGCTGCTCCAGCTCCAAATGGCCTTTGTATCTGCCCTGGGGTTGGTTTTTGCCTGTGTTTTTCTCTGTTTCACTCTGTCTCTGGCTGCCTTCTTTTTTCCGTGTGTCTGAGCTACTGTTGGTATTTTTCCTTTCTTTTATTCTCTTCTCTTACTCTTGTCTCCAAATCTCTCTAATTAGTCCCCTGTCCCTCTTATCCTTCTCTGTACCTGTTTGCCTTGCCTTGTCTGACTCTCTGTCTTCATTTCTGTCTCTGAGTGAAAACCCCCTCAACTCCCTTCATCTAGCTTTCCTCACTTTGTAGCCCCTCTGCTCCATCTCTGACCCTCCCACCCTATTTTTTGCCCACAGGATGGAAATGCAGGATCCAAAGATGAATAGAACCCTCCCTGCAGGTGCTGTAGGGTAAGTCAGGGAGTCCAAGGAGACAGGCTCTGGGGGTGAGGGTCATTTTCTTATCAGCCCTTAATTCCCTGTCCTTTCCAGCTACAGGCAGGAACGGGAGGGCTTCCTGCCCAGCCATGGTCCTGCTTCTGGAAGGAAACCGGCTCAGTTCTTGGATGTAAGTGAGTCCACCTGGATCTGTCCTGCTTGCTCCTTCCCTACTGCTTCTCCTCCCCAGCTCCTCCTCCCTCCCAGCTGTTCCCCTGCCTAATTGTCTCTGCACCCCATCTATTTACTCCAAAGTCACTCCCTCTCCAGACACTCCCCTTCCGCAGGTACTCTCCAGCTCCCTTCCTTGCCTGGCTTCTCTCAATTGGGTGTTCCCTCTGCCTAGTGACTGCCCTCCCCCTTTCCTCCATTATTGCTTTGTGTCCCTCTGAAATTGGAGTTTTGAGATGAGACTAGATTCCTTGCTTTGCCAATTTCCTCCTGGGTTCTTGTCTCACAAATTTGAGGAATAAAATTCATGGACAATAATGGAAGGGAAGAGTAAACGGTATTGTGTTTATTTAAGTGAGAAGTGATATAACTCCTGCCATTTGGATGGGGCCAGATAGCAGGAAAAACCCATTTTAGTGTGCTAGCTTAGAGGCTTACATGGTTCTGGGTAGAGTATGGAGCAAAAGTCTATGTTAAACAGGCATTAAAAAAGTATTGGTTATGTCCTTAGCCTGGGTTTCAATTTCCTGTAACTCCCATCTGGGTTCATCCCCTCATCCCATTTTCTGGCTTCTGGGACAAAGGAGCCGGATTGGGAGAGTTTCCACATGTGAGCCTCATGGTGTTTTACCTTTGAATAAACCATGGTGGTGCCATTAATATATCTAACAAGTAGCTTCCAGGTGTGATTTCTGCATTTGAACAAGACCTCAATTGGGGGCCCATCACTTCTGATTGCTGACCACTGACTATTCCTATTTATTCCCTCCTCTGAAGAAGTCACTCTAAGTACTGTTACAGGAAAAATATGTGATGGGCAATGACTGATGACAGCTCTGGATGCTTCAGGTTGAAAAGGGGCATTGAAATGGGACAGCTGTCAGGCTTCTTCTACAGAGGTCTGTCTGAGGGCTTCCAGGAGTAGAAGGAGAATTTGGTTTTGGATTCCACATGGAAGACCATTTGGAGCTTGGGCAAACACATAAGGGCAGTTTAGAGGTCCATGGTGGTGGTTGGCAGGTAACTAGAGAAAGGATCCATAGAGCATGTGTCATGTTAAGACAAAAAAACAAGGTAGCAGCTGGATGCTGTGGCATATGCCTGTAAACCTAGTGGCTTAGGAGGCTGAGATAGGAGGACTTGTGAGTTCAAAGTCAGCCTCAGCAAAAGTGAGGTGCTAAGCAACTCAGTGAGACCCTGTCTCTAAATAAAATATAAAAAAGGGCTGGGGATGTGGCTCAGTAGTCAAGTGCCCCTGGGTTCAGTCCCTGGTACCAAAAATAAGTAAATAAAAAAGGCATCAAAACATTATTTTCTGTAAAAACAATTAGCACAAAAGTAATCAGTATTATTAACTAGGCCCTGAAAATTAAGACAGTGACTTATTAAATCTTAGGATGTGTTCTAACATGCCACTAATTTGTGATTGGGGGCTTTTTGGGACTCTGGAAACACCAGCAAAATTGTTAGAAATGTGTACATTTAGTTTGCATAATGTGTTATCCATCCTCAAGCTATAGCTGATTTTTGTAAAACAGCTTTTTCATTAGTGTTACCTCTGTTTGATAGAGAGGTTGTCTTTAACTGTGTAACCTCCCAGTTTTATTTGCTTTTTGCAAATGTACATCTCAAGTTATACACCCACAAAATAAGTCTCTCCTTTTAAATGTCCGTGTTATATTCTCCTGCCAGATATTTAAGACCAAGTTAATTAATATTGATCTTGTTCCTGACTACTGTTTAGAGTCGGCTGAGATTTGTCTGGATCACACTTGGGAATTTGTGAGAAGCCTCCTGGCTTCTTTAGTTTTCCTCTAACAGTTGTGGCATTTACCAGGATGGGTTAGGGTCTTGCAGACCACATGTGGCTTCCTTTGGAAGCATAGGGACATATACCTTTCCAATGACCCTCCTCTTTGCAGAATGTACACTTGTTGGCTTCCTGTTCCCTAGGGTCCCTTTGATTCCCCTTATTGGGTGGTCATGGGACTCAGAGTTGCAAAGCTCTTAAAGAAGTCCCATTGTTTCTTGGTTTTGCTGACCAAAGAGGGTAAGGCCAAATTATTGTCTATTTTTTTTTCCCTTTAACTTGCCTGACTTTGGTCTCCAGGTTTTGGTTTTAAACATCTGACAGTCAAGTTTCACCAGTCTTAAAGTAGGAGTCCTGGGTTTCAACTTTAATGTTTACAGTTTTACAGTTATCCTTGTTTAATTAGAGTTAGTATCTGTACTAGAAATTAGCATTATACTTTATCTGTCCTGTACATGATGGTGTATTGTCTTAATTCAGGTTGTTGCATTAGAAACAACAGGTAAGAGTTACAAAGTTTTACAAGAAAAATACAAAAAGAAATGAAATTAACAAAAGAAACAGTATTAGTGTTCATAAATAGACATATATGATGTATAAATGCATAACAGTTGTTTCTTCAACCGGTTGTGGAGCTATCATTTAGAATGTTTTAAAATAGGTACAAACCTTACAAGATTTTATTTCTTTAAGTAACAAAACTTAACAGACACAATAAATTAACTTAATAGATAAGCATGTCAATGTTTTAAGAAACCCTATTGTGAAACCTAGAGAATTAAACTTTGTTCTATTATCAGTACATTGAAATTTGACTTTCAACTTGGTGTGGTGGGGCATGCCTGAGAGTTCAAAGCCATCCTCAGCAATGGTGAGGCTCTAAGCAACTCAGTGAGACCTTGTCTCTAAATAAAATACAAATAGGGCTGGGGATGTGGCTCAGTGATCAAGTGCCTCTGAATTCAATCCTGAGTACCAAAAAAAAAAAAAAATTGATCTCAGCTAAACCCTTAACTTTGTGTCATTTATAGTCAACCCAAACTTTTTCAGATTCACCTTCTATAAGCCCTCTACAACTTAGATATTCTGCAATTTGTTTACCCTATAGGTTAAATAAAATATATTGCCATATTTATGAGTTTCTTATCTTTCTTAAATTTATATCCTGAAACAATCCTTATGAAATTTCTTAATTTAAATGAAATTAGTTTTTTATAAGATGAAATACTTTATGCTTTGTACAGTACTTAAAACACTGCTGAAGCTTTTTATGTTTTTTGTGTATAGAATTATACCTGTTAGAATTTTAACTCATTTAATAGACACAAATATACTATCTTATATAATTGAGAAGCCAAAATATGTAAATTTATAGTTAGCAGTTGCTGTTTTAGTATTTTAACTTTGCAAATTAATCAGATGTCTTTTAAAAGTTTTTATTAGTTATTGATGGTCCTTTATTTATTTATTTGTTTATATATGGTGCTGAGTATTAAACCCAGTGCCTTACACATGCTAGGCAAGCACTCTACCACTGAGCCACAACCCCAGCTCCTAATCAGTTGTCTTTTAACAAACATGCATGAACATTAATTCCATTTATGTTAAATCTAATTTATTTATTCTTTTTTTGGGGGAGTTACTGGGGATTGAACTCAGGGGCACTCAATCACTGAGCCACATCCCCAGCCCTATTTTGTATATTTTATTTAGAGACTGAGTTGCTTAGTGCTTCACTTTTCCTGAGGCTGGCTTTGAACTCAGGATCCTCCTGAATCAGCCTCAGAGCTGTTGGGATTACAGGCATGTGCCATGGTGCCTGGCCTGATTTACCTAATCTTAACTGTTAGCTTTAGATTACCATGAAAACCAGGGTATCAGACAAATCTATTTAACACTTTGTCAGTAATTCCGGTCAAAGAAAAGTGCTTAAAAGCAGTGGACATTACACTATAAACATTTTATGGAAACTAATGCTTTGGTTTTTGGTCACCTGGAAAAACATGTAGGTTAGTAATTTAAAAAGCATATGGGGCTGTGGATGTAGCTCAGTTGGTAGAGTGCTTGCCTTGTATGCACAAGATCGTGGGTTCAATCCCTAGCACTAAAAAAAAAAAAAAAAGACATATTTACTCTTATCAATTTAAATTAACCCCTTTTGTTAAAGGTTTATTTATGTTTCTTGAACTGAAAAGTCATTTGGATCTGTTAATTAAACTTATGAGTACTCATTTTTCTATAAGCCGATCTTGATACCATGTACATGATATATGGACACAAGCACATTACGACACAACACACAGGTGTGCATACATACATAAAATAAATAGGAAACACAGATCTTATAGCTTTTTAGCACCTAATAGATCTCCCCAGGTAGGAGACAACAGTTACAGATGTTTACTATAGTCTATTAGGTTTAACATCACAGACTTTTACATTATGATTAAAATATAGGTCAGGACTATACATTTGGAAATGTTAGGTGTAGAGTCTGGAAGCTGTGGTGGACACTGAAATCAAAGGTTCAGGTGGCCACTTGTCCTTTGTGGGTATCAAATTTATTCCCATCAGCACCATTGTTTAATCCTCTCCTTAGGACTCTGTAAATGAGACTTTTCCAATGTATTTGAGATTAACACTTGAAAAATTGGCCTTTGACTAAAAGACAGCAGGGGGAAAAAGTATGACAATATCTCTAATTAGAATAAAACAAAATTGATTGGAATAAATATATCAATTTAGGCACACAGGATCAAATGTGAACTCGCCATAAAAACCATGAGGTAAGAAAAATAAGTTCTAAAAAAAAAAAAAAGGTATAGCCATAATTACTCTAGTAAAGGAGCATGCAGAATATCTATCAGACCAGAATGCACTTTTGGATCTAATTAGAGTTAGCCCAGGTATTGAAAGAATGTGGGATCCCATGAAATCCTCAGGAAAAGATTTTTATTTTGTGTGTGTGTGTGTAGTACCTGGAATTGAACTCAGGGGCACTTGGCCACTGAGCCCCATCCCAGCCCTATTTTGTATTTTATTTAGAGCCAGGGTCTCACTGAGTTGCTTAGGGCCTCACTTTTGCTGAGGCTACCTTTGAACTTGAGATCCTCCTGCCTCAGCCTCCTGAGCCTCTGGGATTACAGGCATGCACCACCACACCCAGCAGGAAAAGATTATTTAAGAAGAAAATTTGTACATATGGGATTTTCCCCATTTTCTTTCCCTGTGCCAATCCCACAGATTGAAAAAATCCCATGATAATTAGGGTGGCTCCCGATATTTCTGGGCTTGTCCTTTCAATTTCCTGGAGGTGGGTCCCTGCTGCATATTGTCTCCAAAGTAGAATGTAAGCCTCTTAAGTGTCAACACAAAACCTGGGACCTGGAACAGCTGGCCTTTTAAGCTGTCTTTCCCCTTTGTTTCTTCCTTTTTGTAACTTAGAGAGTAGAATTCCAGAGTACGAAAAAGTGCCTCAGGTTTGGATTTAAAAGTGACACTTTTTCTCTGGTCTTAAACTGGTTTGCAAATCTAGCTGTAAGATAGAGTTATAGTTTATATTTCCCTTAAGAGCTGTCTCTCCCTGTCCTCCAAGTAGTATTTGGGCCAGGCTGAGTACAGAAAATATTTTCCCCTGGGGTTTAAGGGCCAAAGGAATTTAGTGTATGAGTGCTTGTGCCAGATGGAGTGTTATCCATCCAGATGAAAAGGGTGAAGAAAGCATCCCTTGCCATCCCTCCACTGAACCAGATCAAGGTGTCCCTTGATCTGTGGACCTCAAAGCTGTTGGCAAGAACCCCTTGAGGCCTGATTAGGACTTTTGAGTTGGCTGTATTAGTTGCCCCTTACCTACACATCTCCAAATTCCCTCACTCATTTTCTTTTATCTTCCATCATCTCCAAACCTTAGTGACCACATATTGAGGCCTTATTAGGATTTGGGCAGGTTGGATTTAGTCACTTATTACCAACACATGACCCCAAATCCCATTGTGTTTTTTCCCTCTTAAAAGGAGAAACCTAGTCTATGTAAGGAAGCACTGTTGACAAGGTTGAGCATCACAGAGGGGACAGGCCAATAGCTTTCTAAACTGTTGTACTAAGACACAGACATGCCCCTGAGGGCCATGTGCCTTAGACAAGATTTTTAAAACATTTATTTTTTTTTTGAAAAGTTTTGTAGTTGTAGATGGGCAGCATTATTTTATTTGTTTCTTTTTATGTGATGGTAAGGATCTAACCCAGTGCCTCACACATGCTAGGTAAGTGCTCTGCCACTGAGCTATAGTTCCAGCCCACCTTGGACAAGTTTTAAAGTCTTTCCTGATGTTTGTATTTGCTATTATATTTATAATTAGGGTCACAAAATTTCAGTCCTAGTTGTTGTACAAAGAAATCTAATTTTTACAGCCAGAGATGATGTCCTCACTGTAATAGACCTAAGATTTGAGACTCTTAACCTAGTAGATGGGGGGAAAGGGACAAAAATGTCTTAGAGCACTTAAAAATGATGAGAGCCATGTTTTTTTTCCCCTAGAAAAACTGGCAGGGTTAGGAACGTAGAGACCCACTATTCTTATTCTTCCTAAGAGAATATGATCATTTTCCCCTATAATATGATTAAGTATAACTGGCAAAATCCAGGATCAGTGGGACAGATTCTGAGATTGAGCTTCCTTTTCCTGGGCCAGGTTATTGCAAGGCAGATAGAGTAAGACAAAAGGGCAACTCACTTGGACACTGGTAGACTGACAGGCAGGGCTCTATCTCTGTCCATGATCACACTGAGGAGTTACCTCAGCCATAAATCCAAGGAACAATCTGAGTGAGGCCTTCCCTTTACCATCAGGTGAGAGACCATGAATGGAGATTAAAGTGGAGATGGAGGTTCCATGTGTGATCAATTGGCTTTTGGCTATCTTTGGAGATCCTGTATTCACACCTGGGAGTAACCCCAGCCAGAGACCTAGGGTGCTTCTAAGAGACCTTAGTTTCTTGATCAAATGGATTGCCATGAAAGGAGATTAAATCAAGATCAGACCAATATTCTCCCCACCAAAAGCAGAGAGGGATGAACAAGTCTCACTCCAGCAAAGCTTTTCCCCTGTGTTGAGTCTGGCAGCTGTGCTATCTGCTTTAAATTGGTTGACAGGATCCTGGTCATTTTGATAGACAGAATGTACAAAATGGAGTACAGGGCTTCTGAAATAAAAGCAAAGTGATAGAGCATTAGTACATTTAATTCACTCTTCTGAAGATCCCCATATGGGCCCCCAAGATGAGACTGGAGTTTTGAGATGAGACTAGATTCTCTGCTTTGCCAATTTCTGTCTGGGTTCTTGTCTCACAAATTTGAATAATAAAATCCACAGACAAAAATGGAAGGCATGAATAAAAATGATATAGGGTTTATTTAAGTGAGAAGAGAGATAACTCCCACCATATGTTTAGGGCCATATAGCAGAAAAACCCATTTTGGTTGTTAGCTTTAGGGCTTATATGGTTCTGAGTAGAGCATGGAGCAAAACCTATGTTAAGCAGGTATTGAAAAAGAACTGGCTATGTCCTTTAGCCTGAATATTACCCTTTCCTGTAACTTCGACCACCTCCTATTTTCTTGCTTCTGGGACAAAGGAGCTGGCCTGGGAGTGTTGCTATAGGTAAGCTTCATGGTCTTTTACATTTGAAATAGGCCTTGATGGTGCCATGCCATTAATATTTCTACTGGGTAGCCTCCTGATGTGGTTTCTGTATTTTTTTTTTTAATGTGGGATTGAACCCAGGGACACTCAACAACTGAGATATATCCCCAGTCCTTTTCTTTTTATTTATTTATTTTTTAAAATTTTGAGACGGGGGTCTTGCTAAGTTGCTTAGGGCCTTGATTAGTTGCTGAGGTTGGCTTTGAACTTGCTATCCTCCTGACTCAAGTCTCCAGAGTCCCTGAGATTACAAGCATGTGCCACCGTGCCTGGCTGGTTTCAGCATTTGAACAAGAACTCATTTCTGATTGCTGACCATTGACTATTCTTATTCACCTCCTCCAGTGCTCCTCAGTTCCAGATGATTCCATCCCCAGATACTACCTTTGCCAGCTCTATTCCTCCAGTTTATTCTAGTTTTCCTCTTCCCAGCTTTTCCCCCTTTCAGCCTCCTCACTCTTCCCATATCCCTCCCTGGGCTTCCTTTCCCAGTTACCCTAACCCTAAGACAGTCTTTCTAGCCTCAGCAGTAGTCTCCTTACCTCATCCCTCTCCACATATATGCCTGAACTTTGTCCCTTGCCTGCAGTTCGAGGGGAAGACATCATTTGGAATGTCAGTGTTCAACCTCAGCAATGCCATCATGGGCAGCGGCATCCTGGGGCTGGCTTATGCCATGGCACACACAGGAATTATCTTCTTTCTGTAAGTCCCCAGTGGCTTGGGGGACCAGGGGTGTGGTGGGCAAGTGGGAGGCTTGGCGCCAAATCTGAACTGCTCCTTCTGCCACAGGGTCCTGTTGCTGTGCATTGCATTTCTGTCTTCATATTCCATCCACCTCCTGCTGACCTGTGCCAGTGTTGTAGGTGAGATGCAGAGACTGGGTCCCCTTTCCTTTGGATCCCAGACTCTAGACACCCTTACAGAGCTCAAACTAGGCCTTGGAACCCAGATCCACACTCAATTCCTTGAACTTACATCCCCAACATCAACCTGCCGCAGTTAGGCTGCAGCAAAATAACTGGGGGGGTGACAAGCAACTTGTGTAGTTTGATACAGCAGGAGTGGGAGCCATTTATTGTAGGACAACAGAGGTATTTATACATTCCACACAGCTTATCTTAATTAACATAAACTAGATACAGCAGTCAACCAATAAGAAATCTCCACACTTAATGGCTCGCTGG